TAGAGGTGTATAAATGGAAGTCAGGGCTAAACAAAGGGGACATTACAAAGGTACTCAAACTAACCAACCAGGAGCGAACTCGTAACAATGGTTTTAAATTAGACAAATTTAGATTTAGATGCGAAATAGGTAATCATTGGTTTGGAAATTGGATGAGTGGAACAAGTTACCAAATATCATCATTAACTCGAATACGCTGGATAGCTTCAAACATAGGTTGGATGCTTATATGAGCAATAGGGGTTGGGTGTAAATGGGACTGCCCAGTATGAGCCAATAGGCCCACTGCAGTTTCCTCCATTCTTATGTTCTTATGTACAGGAATATTTTACTTAATCCTACAAAACTGTATTTGCATTTGTTGTGTTACTTTTCATGACAGTATGGTCATAGAACAAAACTAAAAAATTGAAAAAAATAGCTTAAATAAAATATAAAGTTCTGACCAATTTTATTAAGTAATATCATCCAAAGAACAACTGAGAAAAGTCTGAAAAAAATTCACAAACAACTTCTGGTTGTTAGGTTAGGTTATCTAAGAAGAAATTTTATTTTTCTTTGATGAAAATTTTCCATTTTCTAATGATGAAAATTTCCTGTTGATAGATATCAATGAAAAGAAAATCTTGTCTTCCTTCTTTATTTCATACTAAAATATAACACAGTTATGTACATGGCTCATGGCAGCTTCATTAACCTGTATTATAAATAAACACATTTAGGTCAAATAAACAAAGTACATAAGGTGGGAAATAAAACATTAATTCTTCAACATCAGACAATGGTTGCATCAATAAATATCCAAAATTGGCAACTCTCCATAACTTTTTGTAACGTGAGATATGAGTACAGGTAAACCTCGACAAACGATGGGACAAAGGTTCCTAAAAAAAAATCACCAAGTGAAATATCGTAGATAGGGAGCTTTATAACACAGGGTTCAATAGGATAGGTTCCCAAACACACATGCATCACCAACCAAAAAATTCCTACACTTATAAAATCAATAGAAAACAATTAAACAACACTGACCACATCATGAAGAATAATCCTGGTCATCATCACATGTCCCCTTCAAGGCTAAGGGGGCTCATGTAGGTGAAGTGAAGACTGCTCTGACTCCAACACAGCCTCTGGGGAGTCTCATATTGCTTTACAATGTCAAGTTTCACCTAAGAGACACGGTTGTCTTGGCCTTCCCAGGCATTTTCAAAGTTACACTGCTCATTTCACAGTCACCATAACACAGTTCAATCTAAATGTTAGTGCTGTCCTCTCACTATAAGAAGAAAAACACTGATCATAAGTACAACAATGTACATACAGCCAACGATGCTGAAGGATAATCGTGGAGCTACACGATGGTGGGGAGTTACAATCGATAAAAAACCAAGTGCAGAACTGTAGTTCGTGGGTTGGCCGTGTGATGGCGCACAGGTAGATATTACCGCAGCTGATAAGTGCAGTAAGAAATGCATTACCTACGGTGGTGCATAGAGTTAAATAATTTCTTATAAAATATCACTGGCTTTACATCGAAAAATATAACTTACATTGCTTGAATCCTTGCAAGACAGCGATTAATTTGAGTAGTATACACAACCCATAGTTTGCACTCGATAAACTAAAATTCAACCAATGGATATTGATGGATATCGTTAATGCGAATTTTTATTTACCATATGTAGCAGGATAGTCTTAACTTATGACCATTGTTAAAGCAAATCATTGAACGATACATCGTTTATCGAGGTTTACCTGTAATCTTAAACTGCTGGTGATGATGGAGACTTATGAAAATGGTGACTCATTCACTGCTGGTCATTTAAACATTACTAGCAAATCATGCACTGCGAGTGATACAACACTAGTAATAAATTACAGATCAATAACCCTAGATCCTTGCAATCTTAACAAGACGGCATTGATGCATCAGATACTTAACATTTAGTAAGAAACTGTTAGTGGTATTTTATTCACCATAATGAATGAATCATAACAATGAAGACAAGTTTGGAGTAAATCTGTCAAATTCTAGTTGCCAAGTGTATACAGTAATAACTGATGTCAAGACAGCAACTAATATAATTGTTTTTCAAAATGTACCTTAAACTGCTAATTCATTAATTGCTTCAACACTAGAGCCTTTTATTATTTCTAAATAAAAAATAATAATAATTTGCATTTGGAACTATGCATAAAATGCTTCTCACATTCATTTCTTTGGTAAAACAAAATATGAAACACAGTACTGACATATTCTAGCCCTAATACAAAAATAAATGGTTGAATATACTTGCTTACAATTACTTGAAGTAAACTGTTTATAAAGCTGCTGTTGCATACAGTGACTTCAGGGAACAACATCAAATCCATAACCGATTGGATGAATATCATAAACTGAAGAATATACTGTATATGTAAAAAAATCGGTACAACAAAACAATAGCAACAAATATTGGAACAATATACAGAACTTCAAAGAAATACTTGCCACCTCATACAAAAGATTTACAATCAAAATAATTTTGGTCCCATGGACAGGTATACAGGGTACAGTACTGACATAAATTTGTAATACATACTGTTCTGTGTGGACACAGAATTTCTCAAATCACTTGTAAAAAATACAATGGCATCTCCAGACACCTAAATAACATAAAATGGTCTATGATTTCCTTTTAATAAGCAACAAACTTAGACACCTGACTATGTAAATTTGTTTTGTCATCCTGCCACACAGTTCCTATATTATGAAACTTGGTAGTGGTCAAACTCATCAGTATCACATACAAAAAGTTCAAGTCTGTACAATATTTTTACAATTCAAAATTTTCAAATCACAATATTATTCACTTTTTTATAGACAATTGTCAAAACTAACACACTTGTTTTCTTCAACTAGTGTACCTATATTGATATTTCTGCCTACCCTAAGGCAATTATTATTTTGCACGATATACACAAGGTAACATCCACATTATGTGTAAATGAAAGGAAGACGCTACAATGCAGTCTTAAAATCCTCAGTCCTATTACTGTATCATAGTAAATAATTGTGATTACAGATAATTCATACAGGATCAAGGCTCACCCTGGGATGGGAACAAACCATGGAATTACTATTTTGCATCAGAGACAGGAAGTCCTTAGTTTCAACTATCCTCAAACATTCATGAGTAAATTGCTAATAAACTTCAATTTCCCACTGTACTGGGGAATCAACAATATAAAACAAGTCACTCTCATTCAGGCCACTACACTTATAATCTATTTGTCTGATGTGAAAGATTACTTATGCTTGACATCTGTTTGAGCTATAACCCCTTTATGACATCAAACAGGAATGCATTTTGTTTGATAATCCTCTATAATACCTCTTTGGATTATTAACACAAAACTGTAATTATAGTTATGCACTCATTACTAATATTTACAAAGGTTACTTGCACTTTCTTATATATTACCAACAACATACACCAAACTCTCATAAGAATGTGTGAACTCAACCTTGGACACTGCACATTACTGTAGGGAGTGGGGGATGTGTTCATCACATGTTCTATCAGCAGTGTGTTCATCACGTATTCTATTAGCAGTGTGTTCATCATGTGTTCTATTGATACTAAGACTCATATTACAAGGAAGCATCAATATTACACAATATAAAATTATCTCTAACACTGAATCTTAGTGTTATTATAAATATTTGAAAAATAATTTCTTATTATCATGTTTTTAAATAAACAAGTGTGACCACTGGTACACCTCACCTGTGGTTTAATGAGACACTAACATTAAAGGAAAAATATTGTTGATTCTGTCATGGTCAAAAAAAGGATATAAGAGTCTGCTTTCCGCATTAATCACAGGCAAGATTAAAATTAATTGGCCGAAGTTGTACTAAAATACTCAACTTCAAAATATATATATATATACAAGTCATATCTCCGTTAGCCGGAATTGAAATTTACCGAGGGGCACATTTTCCGGAAATTCTGAGAAAATTTTTCCAGTTCCCGGAAAATTCCGGGGATGGGGGATATTTTCCTGGGTTCGAGAGAGGATGTAATGGGCAATTTCTGGAACTTCTGAGAACATTTTTTTCGTTCCCCTGAAAATTCCAGGGATGAGGGATTTTTTCCGGCTTTGAGAGAGTAGTCTCGTTACCCAGAAACCTTTCATTCCCGGAAGTGCTCTGCACCAATTGCTCTGGCTAATTGAGATATCACTATATATACCTGTGATCAATCATTTACAAACAATACCTCAAGTATTTCTAAGATTCATCAATCTGACTTACTGTTAAACATGACAAAAGATAATCTCATTACAACCTTCAGGAAATGAACGTGGTTATTAATCTGAATATTGTTTTAAGTCTTGACGGGCTTAGAGAGTACATACAGTACAGTACTGTATTACTACTAAATCAAGATAAATGCCTAAGGCTTGTTCACTTGAGTTTCACAGCATTCTTCAATTGTGATTAATTACCCTCTTCCAAAAAACCTATATCACTCCAAAGTTAAAGAAACATTTACAGTACTTATACAGCATTCAGCTTTAAATTTACATTAATTTCTATTGATTTATTCTCTTTGCCACTTGTCAAAATACCAGATTTAACTATTCACAGTTTCACATTATATAAAAATCATTCCTAAAAGTGAGTCAATCCTGGGGATCAGGTTGGCTGTCCCCTTTGAAATGGATTCAAACCAAAAGTGATTCATCCAACAAACCTTAGGTCTATGAGACCCCAATCTAACATAACATAACCATTTGAGATCCAATCTTAATGGTTATGTTGGGTTGGGTTGAAGACTATTAGGGTTGGGCTCAATTGGCCTGAAGCCAAACCAGCGTTGGTGTCCGCATCCCTATTACATATTGCTAACGGATTCATTACCACTCAATAACATTATATTCCTCATGGAAAATATGAACAAGTACTATTAAAGACATTATCCAAAATAGAGAGGCTTAACTGGGGTCTGATATCATAAAAACTATCTACACTGTATGTAGGCTTTTGGAAAGCCCTAAATATGAAGCATCATCATGGAAGCACACAATTTTCAAACATTCGAACCTGTAGTGGAGTTCACAAACCAGTAAATTTAATTAGAAAATATCAGTTGGCTCTATGTATTGAGGAGAGTTTGACTGCATCTGTTATGTAAAAAAACTGTCTTTAAAATATAAGTTCCACTTTCAGTACAAATAAGTTTATTTTTTACAGCAATACATTCACATTAAATTTTCCTCATATTCTAAACTATACTGATGTTTGACCTCACAAATTCTGGTGCTTATTTGATGAAGAAAATTCTATGTCATTAGTAGCATGACTACCGAAAGCTTCAAGAACCGTCATAGCTTATGCCTCATTGAAGACACATCTACAATCTCTATTCAGATTTCAATACTGGGGATTAGGAGAGTAGCACAAAGTTGTAGAGCTTGGTGTTGCATGACCAGAGTGGGCTGAAGCAACTGAATTGGGAGTGAGATTGTCAATGCGAGTACGACTCATGGGTATTGGTGGGCCTGGGTTAGAAGAGCGTGACGAGCTGTAACTGGCAGAGCCTCGGTACGTTGAATAGTTTGAGTCACCCGAGTCATTCTGCTTGGTGTAGGTTGCTGTACCATAGACCGGCTCTGGCTTAACAATCCCAGATTTACTTGTGACATAGAGTGTGTCCTGGCGAGGGTTGTTCTTGTATATACTGTCTGAGTGGGACAGAGCAGTGAATCCGGCAGAAGGCTTGGGGCACAGACTCTGCGACTGAGCAAGATTCCTGGAATAGTTGTCCATGCGAGGTGGTGGTGGCTTGGTATAGACAGACTGGGAACGGTTGAGAGATGTAGAACGTGGCATCGGCGGAGACTTGGCATACAGACTCTTGGAACCAGAATAAATATCATCTTTGTTGGTGGTGTAGCCATTTTCATATTTGTATGTAGAGGCATTGTACACAGAAGGAGTCCCTGCATGCCCATACATGCTTACTGGATAGCCTATAAAAAGTTAAAAAGTATGGTTTTAATTAATGCCATACTTCAAATACTGTACTGTATATATACAATACACAATACAGTATACAGGTATATATTTCCCAAGTATATACAGTACAGTACAGTACAGTACAGTACAGTACAGTACAGTACAGGACAGTACAGTACAGTACAGTACATGACAGTACAGTACAGCACAGCACACTGTACAGTACATACAACATCAATATATAAATATAATAAATTTAATCTTTATGAATTATGATATGGTACTGTAGATATTGGTACAACCTGATAAAATATTTCTGTAACATTACATTGTTATTACCAATTGATTTGACCAGATTTTTTTTTTTCATAATAGTACTGTATTTGAGTTTTTTTCGTTGCTTAACATTGATGGAGGTGCATAAATAAAATATAAAATCAGTTTACAGTATTTTCTAAGCTTAAAATGACCATACTGTAGACACATTTTGTACTGTATTTGAGTTTTTTTCGTTGCTTAACATTGATGGAGGTGCATAAATAAAATATAAAATCAGTTTACAGTATTTTCTAAGCTTAAAATGACCATACTGTAGACACATTTTGTGTTAAATCCACTAAATATATAAACAAGGATATCATTATTTACAGTATACACTGTAATGGATGCACAATGAAGTATATAGGCGAGACTGGACGAGTTTGATAAAAAGATAATCGGAAAGCAAAATAAACATACCTAGACATAACACCTCTCATTCTCTAGTTATGCATTTGAACAATTGGAACAATTATCAACATTTACCAAAGTGGCAGGATTAGATAGGAAATGAAAAAGGCCTTAGAAGCAGCATATATTTGTAGAAATGAAGAGACAAACCACAGGCAGGGTTTCATGTGCTGGTCAGTGAATGCTGCAGACCAATGATTAACTTCACGCAGTAAGGTCAGGGTTGGTAAATGAAAGCTAATCAGGCTCTGACATGACACAGCATCCAGAGAAGTGAGGTGCACCCGGGGTACATACAGTAAGTCTCTGACTTCCTCCACTTGTTGTATTCTCTCTGAAGATGGGTTCTGTGTAGCCCAAAACATTAGAGACATAAAGAAACTTTGCTCTTTTCTGTGTTTCCCTCCCACCCATCAAAAAAATTTTGTGTGTTGTCTGACACTGTACAAACTGAACTGTCACAGGTAGTCAAGATACATCTTGGGTGATACTACATATGTTAGTCTGTGTACAGTGTTTGTTACTCATGTGTGTGTTTCTCCCAATATGCGTGTACATTACATTATAATGGACTACAGATTAACCTGTACCTATCTCTGTGTGTCAGAGGTTTCAAACTCTTGGTCTGTTTTATATGTTCCAGAAACAATGTGGGGTGCATAAAGAATGCTGCTGTTTTAAGTAGACCCAGGAAGAGGTCCTTTGAATTTCAAAACTTTTAGTTTCCTTCAATCCTTTAGAGTGCAGCTCCACACTTAGCTATTTTACTCTGGCTAATGCCAGATGATTTTACTCAGCTAAGAGAAACCATCTGCCCTCAAAAGCATTAAGTGGTCCACTCACGACACATCTACAGTACATATGTACTATATAAGGAAGCCCCAAAAGATCAGAGATCTTACAGGTGAGCAATGACATATTAGAATAAAATTGTGATAATGGGTAAAAAGTTAGTGTACAGTATATAGACCTTAATAAAGTGTGGCCGCACTCAATGAGTGCGTTGCTGTACTTACCTGAAAAAGTGCTCGTGTAGGGTATTCTCAGTCAATAGGTATAATTTTTCCATATGATCACATACATAAAGCAGAGATACATTCCAGCCCAAAAAGTTTTACCTAAAACCCCATGATATAACTTAGATGCTCTCCAGCCCAAAGAACTTTAACCCTATTATTAGTCATTGGTGTAGAGCATACACATGAACACTACTAGAAATGGCAAAATATCACAAGTGGCATTAGGAGCATCTTTAAGTGGTGGTCATAATGACAAGAACCTGTAACAAAGCCTCTACTGTACTTATGAAAAGAAAAAACTCATTTATCAGCACACTCCCAGGGGTGGATCCAGGAATATAAAAAAAAGGGGGGGGTCCAAAAAGTTGTGGGTCGGAGAACATGGCGAGCAGAGCGAGCCCACCCAGCTGAGGGGTTTTGGGAGGGCGCTGTAAGCCCCCGAGAAATTCTTTTGAAATCTGACCAATATCATGGCATTTTGAGGCCATTTTCAAGCCATGTGCAGTGTGCAGTACAATACTGCATTAAAGAAAAAAGTATTGCACTTTTCTTATGAAAAGGGGGGGCCCAGGACCCCCCCTTCCCCAGATCCACCCCTAACTCCTGATAAAAATCTTAAAATTCATATGTTAGGAAGCAGTGTCTTATGGGTGAGCATCTGTTTAGCTCACAGTGCACTGTGGAACATGCAGTGTGCGCAATACTTACCTAAGGGGGAGGTAGTGTTGGAGGTATTGGCGGGTCGGTACTGGTCATAGTGTTGGGCTCGGAGGGCATTGTAGTTGTAGCGCGGTGGAGGTTTGGAACACTCATCATATGGATCTTCATCACTCCCAACACTAGATGAATCTGCAGGAGAAAGATGAATTAATCATGTGTAACTTAAGACTTATTGGAAACATACACAGCATCATTGGTAAGTACTGTATTTTGGTACATGTAAATTATATTAATAAATCCAATTAAAAGATGACTAAAATAACAAAGTATAGATAGGCAACATAAACTATTAGTCAATGTTCTTCAACTCGGTATATTAAAATTAACGCCTAAAAATTCTATCAAGATCATTAAATACCAGAAATTACTATACGGTACTGTATTTCTCATTAGATATAATCCCTTCACATGAAAGTAGTAATTATAAATGTATATATTTAATATTCACTAATAAAAACAGCAGAAACATGAGGAACATGAAGAGACAACATGTGCAAATAATAGGGTGCAAAAGCTTGTTAGTGGCACTACTGATTTTATGTACAATTTTAAGATTCAACAATTTAGACATTTATTTCAATTCACAACATTCATCTGTCACTTCAGAGGATGTTAGTCAAGGTACAGTAGACTCTGACTAGTTCCGTGTTCAACGTGACTACTGCAGGAATTATCTCACATCATTGTTAGTTCTGGGCTCAAAAATTCATAATTAGAAGGGTTAGATAAAGTCCTTTCAGTTAGTGTCACTGTCAATTCAAGGCCATTTTCTAATTCATACAACAATTTAGGGATATAGTACCTGAAAAACATTATATTTCACATGTGAAACTACATTATTTTGTTTACAATACATTAGGCAGACTTGTTCTTCATTAACCCAAGAGTGATATAATTTTCTTGTTATAATTCATGTCCTGTTTGTGTTTCATTTACAATTAAATAAACTGGGGTATAACGTTACCAAGGTCAGGCTGTACCCAGCTACCTATGCTGTACTGAATAACTACGACTGTATAAATGTACAGTAATGCCCCCAAAGTTCGCGGATTTTTACTTCGCGGTTCTCGGTTATTCGCGGATGACACCCTGGATGTACCCAGGAATATCTGTGGGTAGTTTTAAGGTTGCAGGCATTTTCGCGGCTGGGACAGGGAGCCATTCATTTTAGAAACAGTAATTTCCTTTACTTGTATTGTAAATATGTATATATGTGTGTGTGTGTAGACACACATGCACACACACAAAACACATAAATAAATAATAATGGGAAAATACTCTCACAAATAATTATAATCAGAAACAAATTTAATAAAAATGTGAGTCTACAGTACTTTATTAATAGAGCACGGACTTGAGGGTAGACTCACATTTTTAATAAATTTGTTTCTGATTATTTGTGAGAGGATTTTCTAATTATACAGTATTATTTATTTAAATGTGTTTTGTGTGTTTATGTGTGCGTCTACACACACACACACACACACATATATATACAATACTACAGGTAAAAGAAATAATTGTCCTAAGGGCAAACACATAAAGGGAATATACATTTCTTTGTACACAGGTAAAAATGCACAGTTCCCTCTCACAACACTGGTTCTCTCCCTCCACCTAAGACATATGATACTTTATCTTGGAAAAGTACACCTTCAATTGTTTCTTGTGGATCATCAACAAGACAGTTGTAAAACATCCGGCGACACTGCTTCTTTGTTGTATCATGTTTTTTTATTCCTTCTTATTATTGTATTCTCACTTTCCAATGAGGCTGGGTAATCCCCTTGTATATGAGATCTTAACTGTTGTACAAATTTTAATGTCAACAGATTGTAAGAGTTTTCAGGGCTGGCAAAACCATTGGTTTAAAAAACATTCTTAAAAAAAAAAATACAAAATAAAATAGAAAAAAAGTGTTTTTTATGTTATAATGTTGGCTTTAATAAGTTTTAAGTATGTGTAGCCCTTTTAATAATTTTTTTATATACAGTATAGTCTAGATATACACGGATTTTGTTTTCGCATTTGGTCATTTATGCGGTGCCTTGCCTGAATGAAATTTTTTAATTACGCGGTAAATTTCATCATTTACGCGGCAAGCAGCTGGAGAGGTGCAGACGCGCCGCGCCATTTTTTACTCACGCGGTCCATTCTTGACCATACGCGGGAAGCGGCGAAGTGAGGGGTGCGCATAAGGTCGCTCTTATGTTATCGCTGACGTCATATGACGTATCGGACTGTGATTGGACGACCACGCATCCTTACTACCCACACATTCCCTCCGCCGCTAGCTGTGATTGGTCTAATGTAACATGACTTGCCCTGCCACCAGAGGGTAGAAGTCGCTGACCTAGCCAAGCCAGTCTCATTGTTCTCAGTCCGCGTATACAGTTCTCTCTTGTGCCCACTATTCCCCTCACAATGGCTTCTGCTGTACCCCCACCACCTGAGAAAACCTTTGAATTACCTGGACCAAGCCATGATAATGTGAAGGAAATCATTGAGTTGGGGGAGAAAATTAAGCTCATCCTTGACAACGACCCAGACAAGCATCGGTATGAAGAGTCTAATAACCATCTGACGAGAGTTATGGAGCCGTATATCCAGATCTATCTCGACAACATCAATGCTAGTCGTCAACTTAGTATTAAGGACTTCTTCGCCCGCAACCCACCACAACCACAGCCAGCCCAAGTCAGTGACAGTGAGGATATGGACTTTGAGGGGTTTGTCTGGGAGGCCCTGCAAAACTCTGCAAGTAGTGAAAGTGATTCGCCGGAAGGCAACTAATCTGCCCTCTGCCTCAGAACCAGCCGCCATCCACGTGTGCCGACCCATCTTTTCTACTAACGTAAGTGTTAAAAAACCTAATATTATTGATATTTCTCTTAAATATTAATTGTGTGTGCATACCATCATAAAATTAAGATGTTATTTTTACTACAAGGTGCGTATTGTGTCAGAAAAAGTGGAGTTTGGGGGTCGGCCCAGTCTCTATTTCAATTAATCCCAGATGTTCTGTTATTTCGTTGACGCGTTTTTCGTTTTACGCGGACCTCCACGGGTTCAATTGACCTCGTAAATGCATACTATACTGTACTATTAATCATAAACATTACATTCAGGATTATTTAGCATTATACTCTTTTCAATCTCAAAAAATCTGTGAAAAGGCAAAATTTGAAAAATACAAGCTTTGATCAGTCACCCAGACTCATCCTACATGCTTTAAAGCAAAAACTAAGTTTAAGTTCATCTTAATGCCTGAAGAACTATTTTACTTTTACAGTTGAAAGTTTAAATAAATTCATTTAAGTACAGTTGGAGAGAGCGATGGGCAGTGGTAATTTGATCTGAACACATTAGTGAGAGACTCAAGACTCCAGTCATAAATAGAAGCAGTCACCAGTTATACTGGACAATGGCAACTTGGCTCCCTTATAATCAGGATTTGGAATGTGTGTCTCCCTGTAAGAAAGCTTATTATCACCACTTTCACCAGTGTATAATAGTTCACATTCATGTATATATTGAACAACCAAGGGGTCATAACACATCCCTGTCTAACACCCACATTTATTTCAAATGTTTCACTTCTTTCCCATTTACACTTACTGTTGCCCTGCTGTTGGCATAGAATGATTTTACTGTATTTAATAGCCTTCCTCCCACCCCATATACTTGTAATGCCTCCCACAATGCTTATCTGTTTGCCCTATCATATGCCTTTTCCAAAAAATTAATTGTACGATATAGAAAATATGAGTACAGGTCCTCCTCTACTTACGAACGAGTTACATTCCTGAGGCTTGTTTGGAAGTCCAATTGTTTGCAAGTCCAACTTTACTCTTGTAGATACCAAACATATTGTATAAAATGTAAAGATTATGGATATTTAGTACAGCTATACCCTTTAATACAGCCTTAAAACCTGGCTCACTATTCTCCTCTTAGGTAATGTTTGTTCTATCTGGAATTTTCTTCAAAATAATCCAGTCTCATCCACATTAAACACCTGTTCTGGCAGTTAACCCCCTCAGTGATGATTGTATCTCTGAAAGTTTGTAAGTTGAACGTTCTTAAATAGAGGAGCACCTGTACTGTATATCGTCAATCTCATTTCAAGAGGGATCCTTTTGTTTGCAGGTTTGTAAATTATCTCTAACTTGCACAAGTTGTTACTTTAATGTGTTAAAACAAATTTATGAATTTAAATATCAGAATATTACTGTTGTATGGTACAGTATCTAGTCCCTGAAATGCTATGACTACAATTTTGGTCAACAGCCACATCACATTAAAAACACCACTTCTCATCTCATCAAAGAAGTTAAACAAAGTTGGGTCTGGTTAGTACTTCACTGGGTGACGCCTGGGAACACCTGATGCTGTTGGCATTTAAATTAAAGGAACCAACTGGAAATAAGTATCTGATGGCTTTGTTGGCTAACCTTGGTCAAACTGATTGAATATCAATTACAGTACATTATTATAATAATTTTATTGTACAGTACTGTACTCTAAACTGATCAAACCCTACAACAGTAGCTTCCCATGATACAGTTAACCACTGAAGCATGTAAGTGCTAACAGTTTCCCCCCTATTATTAAAAAACAAAACAAAACAAGTGTAAAGAAGACTGGTGTGTGAATGTACAGTCACGAGCAATAGTCATGTGACACTCTCCCTGCATGTCGTAATTCCATCTACCAATGTGAGGTGGAACCTCTCCTCCACCATACTTATGAACCAATTTCAAGGGGTAACTAGAGCCATGTAAATGCAGGACACATATTGTAAATTCCACAGTAATTGTCAGAATGACTATTCATGGGAAAGAGAGTCGCACTACTATTGCTCATAACTGTAAATGGATTTAGTGAGGATAATAAAAGAGTTAACTAAGGTATAGTACTGGTGAATGAAAAGAACCTGGATACCCCCCCCCCCACTGTGAATGAAACAAGGTTGATGAACAATGAAGAAAGTTTCTGGAGACCAATAAGGAGCATTCAGGAATATCTAAATGGTAAGAGCAAAAGAAGATTTAGAGATACTGTATGTTATGAAAAAATGAGGTTGAGTCCCAGACAATACAAAAGAGAATAAGAAATGGGTCACTAAA